ACAACCGTCTTTCCCTTGTCAGTAGGGGCAGGAAGTACTTTACCGCGCACAGGGACAGGAATTCTGGTACGAGGACCAGTCATCCTTCCCTTGTAAGAACGGGCAGCAGGACCCGAAAAAGTGGTTGCAGAGAAGAAAGAAGGCATCTTGATAGAAGCAAGAAGTCAAAGAGAAAGGGAGAGCAAAAGAGAAGGGGAGATCGTGCAAAAGCTCAGTTCCACAGAAAAGTCAGATGCAAGAGCGAGGAGGAAGGAACGTGTAGCAGGAAAGAAGAGAAGAAGGAAGGAAGAGGGAGAGCGGTGGGAATTTATTGCTCCAAAGTTTAACTTTAGAGTTAAACTTTGGAGTTAAAAGAATTAACAACCAATTGTGGTGGGCCTAATTAAGGCCCCCGATCTTGCTTACGCGAGGCCCAGTAGTCTCAGGGGCTGCGATGGTTTGTTGTCCCAAAGAGACTTGTGAGATCTCCCTCCACATCAAATTCGCTTGGTTACTGAGGTTTGCAAGTCAGTTGCAATTGTTGCAGTGTCCAGAGATGCACTTAAATCCTGTGGGGGCTCGAAATTTGCCGGTCGTCGTCTGGAATGTATCAATACAATTGTGCCCAGTGAAAAACAAAAACAACTGGGCGAATCAGTTTCCGGCCGGAAACTGAATTGTGAAAGAAGCAGACGCAGTCTTGACGTGCGGGACGGATTGTTATCGAGCCGACTATGTCTCCTGGCACTATGGCCGTTTATTCATAGGACAATTGCAGGCGGGCTGACATTATTCCACGCAATCGGCTTGGGCATCACATGGTTAAATAGCAATCATGCCTCAGTTCATATAGTACATTCGAGAGCTGGTATGACAAGGCGAAAATAAACAATAGTCCTCAAACAACTGCATGGCACAATAACACAGAATCTCAACCATCACAGCCTTCTATTGCATCACAGCTTCCCATAAACGTTCCGCAGAGCCTTCCCGGATAACCTACCTTGACTTCAATCCCCAGACCAAAATGTGCAATAGAATGTGCGACAGACACCATTCCTCGTCTCTCGTACGCGTGGTGCCCATAAGAAACCGATACCCGATGTGCACGCCCAGTTGAGACACCATAATGGGCCAAAAAAAAGAAAGAATAGCCAGAGCACCGACCAAAACTCCAAAAGCATAGCAAAGCCGAAAAACGTAACACAAAAACAAACATCAAGCCATGAAGAGGGAGCAACAACAGATCATAAAAGCCAAACAGCATTGGTTCCGACTTCGAGAACCAGGATCGACAGAAACGCTACCCACACCGCCATCACTGTGCTACCATCCCCAGCCATTCTACGGCCAAAGGAAGCGGAGTTGTCTGGCGCAGCTGTAATGGTCACTGCAGCGCCACTGGCCGTGGTGGTCGAGGAAAGGGTGGTCTTAGTGGCGATGTTTGAGGACAAGGAGGACTTGATACTGCGGCCAGAGGTCAACGTAGCGGTTGGGTTTGTGCTGTTAGCGAATGGCGCGGTAGTCAGGGCCAATGAACGGCTGAGGCTGGTCGTGTTCGTGCTATTGTTCGTGGTGGTAAAAGACGAAAGTGTAGGAACGCTGGTACTGGCAAGGGCTCTGCTTGGCGAGATGGTAGTTTCGCCTTTGGTAGTGCCTAGCCAGGCCCGTGAATAGGTGGTCAGACAAGGGAATGATACAGAGAACATACTGTGCATTGTGGACATTGCTGACGAATACGAAGAAGGGTGGGTAGAAAAGACTCCCGTTTCAACTGAGTTGGTGGCAGTAGCGTCGATCGAACCCGAGGAGTTGGTCAGATAGGTGGCCGTATTCGTAGTGACCGTGAAGGTGATCAATGATAGAGTATCAGCCTTAATATGAACTAACACTGACGAGCTGGTAATGTTGACGGTGTCGATCATGGACGAGGATATGCCGGCAGCGTATACGTGGGCGAAGAGAACCATCGATCCCAAAAGAAAGAGATACATCGCAAGCAAGGTAGTAGGAAGACGTAGCAAGAGCAAAGCAAATGCAATAGCGGTAGGAAAGGGACTTCGAGTAGCAAGAGAATAGTCGGGAAGGTGGTATCGGGGTTGCCAATGAATGGGAGCTTGACGAAGAAGGCGGATTGGATCGGTCAGGGTTTGGGAGGAAAACATCATGTAAATAGCCAAGACTCTCTGCGGTGCATATTTCTAACCAGATATGTCCAAAATCCACAGCGCGTCCTGCGTTTAGGCATTCCCCCGTGCTTTTTTTTTTTTTTTTTTTTACTTCAATTCGCACGGCCGCAGCAAAGGCTGAGGTGCTGCCTTAATCATCCAAACTCTGCACACAGGGTACCGCGCGCATTACGAGGCGTCTGCCAGTGAAGATGTGTGACCATACAAGGTGGTGCAGGTTGAAAAGTCATACTTCAACCGCCCATGGCTAGCTGTCAGGTCCATCCAGTAATTCCACCGACTGTCACAAATGCCGCAAGGAAAGCATGCACATCCATGAATGGGTTAACGGCGCCGAGTCACCAGCAGGCACACCTCACGCATCGTTCCATTCAACCCAACAACCTCCAGAGGCGCAACCCAACGAACCACCATCAAGATGCATCTCCACGGCTTGTTCTTCGGCATTATCCTCGTCATCCTCAGGGCCCTGGAGGGCTTCTTGGACTTCCCACTCATCCATGTTATGGCTATTGCGAGAAGCGAGCACTCGCTCAATGGCTGCGACGACGGCTGTCATGGAGACCTCGTTCCACACCCAATGTATGTCTACCTGCACCCATCACCTTCGTTTTCCGTTTCTTCATGAGGGAAACTATCTGATAGTGGCTCACGGTGCCTGTCATCCAGGGCTCAGCGGCGGTGGTCATGCCAAAGGATGGTTCCGACAACCCGGAATCGACATGGACCTCTATGCCAACGGTCCGTACAGCTCTGGTATCACGGACACTGGAACGGCCACGCCGGCCTCGGGGTTTACAGCCACAACCATCGAGTCATCGACTATTACCCCCGATTCCACATCGTCGTGGGATCCGTCGTCGTGGGATTCGTGGATCATGGCCAGCCTGAAGGTTGCATCAAGGCCGATAGAGGTATCGGTCACGACCGTCCTCTTGGCGGTTGTGGCGGCGGATTCTTCCTGACAAACAAGGAACTGCTTTAATTTTTCTTGTTTGTAATCAAGTGCATTGTCTGTATTCGACCGCGAACGATCATGACAGACCCGCAACCCGTCTCCCTATTGATACTATCTCATGGGTCAAACGACCACCCGAGCTACCAAAAGGAAAAGCCTAATAGAGAAGACAAAAGAAAGAAACAGGCCCGTAACAACATACAAAAGCCGTGGCCACCAGGGTCAGGTCACTCCGCTCACCAGACTCGGACGATGACGATGAAGCATTCTCCTCCGCCACGGATGGAACTGCTTTACTTTGCATTGTGTGCCTGTGGCTTGCAGGTGTTGTTTTCCGTTATAGGGGTTTTGGTTTTGGCCTTTCAAGCAGCGTCTGCCTAGTGTTTGGAACATTGTCCGCTCCTCTTCACATGGCATGGTTTATGCTGGCTGGGAAGTGCGGGTACTACGTTTCTGGGATGAGTGGGGCAGTCGGGGGCCATAAATGGTCCCTGATTCTTTCGAAAGCAAAAAATATACTGCGTTCAATTGCATCTCTTATGATAATTATCGATTGCGCATTCACAACTATACCTACGCGGGCCACATTGGCAATGACCAACATATGATCTGTCAGTGCAGTGCACTGTACATCCCGGAAACCACAGTAGTAATTGAACCCCATGAGATGAATAGCGACCAAAAACGCAAATGGTCCTCATTCGGACTTTACTGAAAGGCTTCCTGTCTCAATGACGGCCTGTACATCTAACACTATCTGTACACTTCGGATAATAACCCCATGAAGCCTGAGTGCTGCTGTAACCATCGCCAAATTATGCCCCTACACGAGTATCTCAGGAATACCCCCGAGCCTGCTTCACCTTGGTGGAAACTCAACTGTCATCTAGTGACTATAGCTACTGGCAAGATTAAAAGTTGCCCCGACGCGGATTATGTATTCCTGCACGGTGCGCCATGCCTGGCGGCTGTCATTGCCTTGTGGCAATGGTCGCACAAAGACTGGCGGCTCAGCCTGGACCTGTTTGACCTCAGCAGTGTCCGATTGGTTGTCAGGACTGGTGAGATGATAGGAGCATGGCAGGAAGGAGCGGATTCGCGTGATCAATACCGTGCAGAGGCTTCGCTCAGGCATTAACCGTGAGGGGGCGTGATTGAGTAGCAGAGATTCGACAGAATCAGCACCGAACAGGACAATGCGCAATCCTGGCGAGCAGGGTTGAGGATCCGCGGCTGGTTCTTACCTCCTGATCTCTCACTTCCTATGACAGTGTCATAAGAGGGCTAGAGGATGAGGTGGGGTTGGGTGCAGTCGATCTAGATGGGAATATCTTGCAAGAAACGAGCATTGGGCTGCGGTTCCGGGTCTGCGGAGCTTAGTATACCTGAGGGGCGTTTCTCACAAATACCTATAGACAACTTCCATGGTGCAGTGGTTGTAGCACACCACCTTCCCATATCGGGATAAGGTGGGGACGTGGGTTCGAATCCCGCTGGGAGTATCTTTTTTTTTTGGCTTGGCACTCACCACAGTGAACACGCCGTTCGGACAAGTCGAACAATATGAAAATATTTTGCAACACATTTCCCGTTCATGGAAGCATGCTAGGCTGCATTTATTCGTCACTGCCACTCGTGATTGGTCCTTGTCTCCATGCCGTGGGGGAGAGTGGTAGTCGGCAGTACCCAAGATGTGGATAAGGCGCTTATACTTGCTGTACATATCGTGCCACCGGCGTGGAACACCGAAACGAAACAAAAAAGACAAAAGGACACCGGGGATTGAATAAGTCCTCGAATCTGAGATCGCAAGACAATATCTCCGACACACACGATGTTATCATTCCACACCTGGAGGACGTAGAAAAATGGCCACAACATAGAAATTAAGCTGTGCGGAAGCCAACCAATAGCTCTGCGAGTCAGACTCTGTAGTCGGTGTGCGAGCCCTCTGCGGCCGGTGTGTTCCCCGTGTTGGGGACGCGGGGTTGTGGCTCCGAGGTGTCAGGGATTTCTACATGGCCTTGGCTGAAAGGTCAGGCCTAATTGGGCCCAAGCAATGGCTGTGTCTGTCAATTTGCCGTATGCACTTGCACGCCCCGAGAACAGCAATCACGTCACACATGTCGGCTCGCCAACAAAGTCAGGTGCGACTGGCGGATGCAGGATCCCATAAAAGCCCCCTCCTTTGTCTCCCTCCTTCTCTTTCTCTTTCCTTCCTTCCAATCATCCATCTCCACACATTGCCCTTCTGTCCCAAGACTCGTCTGTCTTTGTCAGTGTATATTTCTCTCTGCGCCTTCGTTGTTACAACCCCAGCCTCGCTACGCTTCATACAAACCTGTCAAAATGCACTCCCCCGTTGCTTTCCTGCTGCTGTCCGCTTTTATCGTCTGCTCCGTCAAGTCCGAGGGCCAGAATAAGAATGGGGACATCCACTGGCGTAAGTACCTTGCTTTACAAACAGCGTGGCCGGAAAGATAGAAAACTAATCTTGTTGATTCTGTAGAAACTGAGCCATTCGACCGCACCTCGCTGGAAAAACAAATCACCCACGCACGGCCGAGGCACGACGGTGGCCACAAGGTCAACAGTCAGCCACGTTGTTTCATGAACCCCGATCAACAGGACTCTGTCGACACCAAGCCTTCAATTGTCGACGGAATTCCACATGATGCAGTAGTTCTGAATGACAACAAAGCGGGAATCATTCCCCGAGATACCGACTACATCCGCATTAACCAGTTTCCTGACGGCCAACTCAACTTTGGGACGTCCCGCATTCCGGGAGCACCTCTCATCCCTCCGACGGATCAGCTTTCTGCTGCTTCAGCTAGCACAGACGTCCCGACAGCGATCCCACCGACTCAGGAGACTCCGGAAACTACAGAGCCCCCAGTGGCCCCAGCGATCCCAGAGACCCCAGTGAGCGGAGATCCGGCACCCACTAAGCAGGCGGATCCTTCGGTGTATACTAGTTGCCAGGACCGTGTCGAAGTTACAACCGTCACTACAGTCCTCACACTGACCTTCAACGACTGCACTACTTTTGGGCTCAACAAGAGAGACTCTACGCCAACTGGTTCAGCTCTGAGTGGTCTGGTTTCTGCAGGCCTGACTACGGAGGTTCCAATGGCTGAGATCGAGGACGACCCCATCGTCCGACGAAATGCACTTATTCAGGGCTCCGGTTCAAGAGTAAGGGTCCTTGGATTCATTTGGGTTGCTGTCTGCCTGACCTTGGGAGGGGCTTTATTCATCACAGCCTGAAGCAGGAGGTGATGCCATGGGACTTAAGTGTAGTCTGAGGATGCTAGGTGTTGAAGTTGAGAGAGAAAGTCTTGTAGAAGTATTTTTCTTGTCGATGGACCATGGTTTTAAGCGTCACTCTCTGTACTGGTATTATGGCTATGATGGTTGGGCTGTGTCAACGCAATGAAAGCAGTTTGTTTCTCAACTTTGGTAACTGTTCAAGATGGACAATCGTGTGAGCGGAGAGAGTGAGGTCACAAGCCGCAGTTTCATTCATCGGGTTCCCGTGGCTACATTGCTCCTTAACAGTGGTTGAGTGTTCACATTCACCAACAGCCGAGAGGCATCGTCCGACACGGGCAAAGGAGATTTATCTATTCTTCGTTTTGACCATGTTCTTGTTCGAAAGCGGATTACTTAGTACCTTGCATCTGTAAAATGCATTTCACCATTGACTGCAGACGTTCAAGGAGGGAACAAATGTAACGGGGTTTTGGTATGCACATAAATTCAGCGGCCTGCACTAATTCATGCAAAATGTAAAAAATATTGGACACCATCCAAACATAACCGAGATAGACAAACTTTGTTCCAAGCATAATCCGGTTCCGCAAAGCTGTGCCAAGAATTGCTCCGCGTGTGGCCCAAACCTTGGACCTGACGTCCGCGTCTGGGCCAGTTGACGGGTTGCTGACCTCGATATGGTGTTTGGGGCAAACAATCGAATAAGTTTCGCATTGCCTGCTGTGTCATCACAGTGTGCCTGCCTGTCTTCGACCGTGTAAGATCGTTGAACTGACCCCTCAATACAGCGTATTGCCACCACAGCACGGGCGACGTAGACCAAATGGGAAGGCTGGTAGTTTCTGAACGTGGGGGTAAGAGGCACCGACACGGTGGATGGATGGTAAACTGCTCCATATAAGATCGTGTTAGCGTGGTCAAGCTGAGAACCCGGTGCATACACAGAACGGCGTGAAGAAGTGAAACCATATGAGGACAACACTATTTTACCTTCTCTCTTGAATAGGTCCGCACCCGAGTCTGTCGTTCGAGGGAACCGGTAGGTGGTTTGTGAAGCCCGAATACACACGCGGATATTCCTAGAGATTTAACCAAAGATCAGCTATCGTTTGGAAACTCCAGCGATCAATAACTGGGTAAGAAAGGCAAAGATGTTCGAACGCTGAGCCGTGACATTATCATTGCTGGTTGGAATAAGAACGCAGCGGCCAGTCCCGGCAAACGCTGGGCCCAGCCCAGGACACTGACCGTGGATAAAGAGTATCAGTTGCAGAAAGGGACACTCTTGTTCGGTGCGGTATGGTGGTATGTTGAGGCACGAGTGTGTAGATAGGAGCGAAGATTGTTTCCACAGGATAGGCGATGGCGATATGAATAGAGAAACCACTTTAAACACCAGAGCATCAGAATCATTTAGATGAAGGAAGAAAGGGAAGGCCAGGAAAATGAGTTCGGAGACCAGTGGGATGCGGAAAACGTACCTTCATTGCTATCAATGATTATCTCAGAATAGTATCATCATCTGTGCCGATTGAACAGAATTGCTCGTGAAGCATTTTTTTGAGGGGGGGGGGAGACAAGGCTGAATGAAGCAGTGCTAACTGGGCGGAGGGATGATGTGTTCTATATCGGTCGTTGTTGTGGTCGTAGCTGCGCAAGAAGCGAAAGGAGCCCGAGGACACGATTGGTAGTGTTGGTACAGGAAAGCAAGCACAACTGTTGAGCGAGGAGCATGCTAATGCGATACATCATGATTCATTGGTGGAACCAAATGGAGTGGAAGCTGGCCACCCCGCCTTGCGAGTCCGCAGTTAGCAACAGGAGGAACAGGTCTCTCGGCAGCTAAAACATGGAAAAATCAAGATAGGGCCAATGCATGGAAAAACAGGACTGCGGCCCCGCCCGCTTGCGCCTGAAATCCTAGACTTCACGCAACGCACCAGCAAATGTGGAGTCAAGGGGCTTAAGCTTGCGGCAGTCAGATCTGTCAAGACTCGACCGAAGCCAGGAATCACTGCATGAGATCTGCCCCAGGATTCGTGGGTTACCACACCAGCACCAGGTCACTGGATCCTAAGCCTCAGGCAGATCCGAGACATCCACTATCGTAGTACGCGACATGGTGCCGGGGGAGGAGCGGCGGTCTGTCAGATTGCAGCTGCTGGTCATGTTTGCCAGAAATACCCCGCTGCGTGCGATTCGGTTTTATTCAGATTTGCTTTTGCGTAGCTTTGTTTCCAGCCTATCAACGTAACTGAGGGTCTTTCAGCTTTACTGCTATTTATCAAGTTTATTTACATAGCAAATCTGCTGGGGCGTTCCACCTAGTCAGAAAAGCTGTCAAACCGACGTGCGGCCCTGCTCGACCGGCTGCGCCGAGCCACACTAGCCCGCTCGCATAAATCTCCCCCTCTCGCTTCACCATTCCTCCAACACTCTCTTCCCCTTCACACATTTTGACTCTTCAACTCGCTCGTTGCTGCTGTTACTCTGCGCAAACGATCATCAAAATGTCAACTTCCTTCTCTTCATTTCCTCCTGGCTTCCCTGACGCCTCTGCTTGTCCTTCTTCGGCTTCTGTTGTGTCTCCTCCTGAAGCAGCGGGTCCAAGTGACGCCATGATTTCCTCCTCTTCTACTTCTCTTGTTCCTCCTCCACTTTCTTCTGAAGCAGCGGGAAGTGACGCCACGATTTCCTCCTCGTCTACTTCTGCTGTGAGTGGTGGACCGGCCCCAGTTGCGATGAAGCGTCAAATTCCCATCGCCGCGAATTCAATCTCTCGGCCAGTCTACACACCGAAAGTCAACTTCCCGGTGTCACTCGATATTTCGTTGGCAGTCGTTCAATTTGCCTACTCATCGACGCCGTTGACATCTCTCCCTTCGAGGCTCCCGGTTCATCAAAACCGCCTTTCGAAGGTCAACACGGCGATCAACAAGTCTCGTTCGAAGCAACCTGTTCGTCCAAACGAGAAGTCAAAGCAGGCCAAGACGCCTAATGTGCTCAAAGCTGCCGCAGCCAAACGGACTCCACAGAAGCTCCCGGTTCGTCAAAACCAGCTTCCTGACCGAAAACGGTAATCCCATGTCCACCGCCCTGTCGCACAGATACTGACAAGAAATCAGCATCAGAGCAGATATAGAATTCCCACTCGGGCCCTTGTCGAAGACGGTAGTCGACAAGTCTCGTTCGAAGCAACCTACCAGTCAAATCCAGATATCGAAGG